CAGGACAAAGCAGCCAACTTGACTGGTGTCGCACTGATCCACAACCTTCAATATTCGCTCTCTTCACCAGCAACTTACAACAGCAGTGTATACCATTCACAAGGTTTCTTCAACCGCTCCTTCCAAACCCATATCCTCAAATGACATGGGCAACAGATTCATGAGAACACCGTCATTTCCACGTTCTCCTATAAGCCAAACGTCATCCTGACTTGGAACTATTTTGCTATTCCTTCACCGTCATTGGTTAAAAATCCTGCGACTTCCTTCCGAACATCATTCTGGGAATCCCTACACATGAGCATTTCAGAAGGATGGCTCACCACCATGTTCTCCAGGGCAATTGGGAATGGGCAATGAATGCTGGCCTCACTAGAAATGCCCACATTTCATGAACAAATAAGAAACACCAATAATAAATCAATGGTTTGATAATGAACACACCCGAAGCTTTGTTTGGTGGGAACAAAAATTCTGAATGTGTACACTCTTGTCAGCCCTCAATGTTGGAAAACAAATGATTTGCACCATGGTGGCCTACACACTGTTAAATATCGGATTCCCTGGTATAGCTCAGCAGCACCACTTTTTCATCATAGTGTGTGCCACATTTACTCAGAGCAAGACATTGAGCCAAGAAGGGATTTGATGCCACCCATTTTCTCTGGACCCTGTTGTCAGCCAGTTGTGCTTTGTATCTCCAATTGCTTCTTCCAGTACGTCAAGAATAGTGGTAGACCTGAGGATTTGATGTATTTCAGAGATCAAAAGGGAAACCAAGTAGTTGATGAAAAGGGAAAATTGTATAATGCATGTACACGAACAAGTAATATAAAGACAAATTGGTGAATATTGTACAAGAAAATAATACGATTTTCATTCATGTATTTAGGAACTTCGTCTTCCGACTGTTACCACATGCAAGACTTCCCTCTGTTTTCATGTTTATTCTTGGGCATCCGCCTTACCTGTGTAGAAAGCTTCCAACAATCCCTAACATTCTTGTCAGATGTTTTCAATTCTCAAGCTGCGGCTTTACAACCTCAATTAATTCTCAGGTTAAATTGGGCTATGGATCTACCATTCCTTTTTGATATCATGTGGCCATATTAGAGAGGAGTATTTGTGGGAATGCAGCACATACAAGAGGGGCTGTAGCATTACCATCACATATGGACGTACACAGATGCAAGCAGCTGCCTTCATTGGTGTGCTGTTTTTAATTCTATTAAGTAGATTTACACCAGGGCAAGTTTAATCTCAGCAATGGGTGGTTGGTAATCGCAAAGAGTTTGACTTTTTGGGTTAAACATCAGGGGGCAACCTATTGATGAAGATCTATGAAAAATGAATGACTTTATGGCCAAATGTTAGTCTCAACTTTTAGCTGAAATTAATTGTTACTCAAGTAAACTAACCTTGATGTCTAACCTTGAGCTTTGGTCCCATTTACTCAAATCCAACCAGATCTTGTTGCATTTGCACTGCTTTTAGCCATACATCATTTATTTAATTAACTGTAAATATCTTAGCCTTGTTCTTCCTTTGATCAGTTGATCAATAGCAAATATCCAATTTCCTTCATATGCCTCTCTACAGGATTTCCACATTTTCCACATACTCAGTTTATCTCTATGTTATTATCAAGCTGGGTTTCTGTGATGCTGAGAATATATTAGATTCCAACAAATATCCACAGATGAAGGAACACAAATAGAATTAAGCCATTCATTCATTAAGCATGTTCCACATTTCAGTCAGAATGTGGTTGAGTTATACCTCTTTTTGTCCTGCTTTTGATCCTGTGCTGTACTCTTATATGTTTTATGATCCATTTCAATCAACATCTATACTTAACAATAATCAATTAAATTCATCCAGTCTTGAACATTTCAATTGACTTGGCATTTACAGCATTTGGAGAGAGAGATTTCTGGTTTCCATTAGCACTTGTGTGACAAGATGCTTTCTGATTTCATCCTTAAATGGCCTCACTCTTAAGGTTTACTTAAGGTAAGTTAAGGGTACACTGTTTTATTCTGGAATCCCTTGCCAGAGAAAATAGCTTCTCTGTAGCCTAAATGTTTTATTTGAAGACCTTGAATCAATCACCTTTAACCATCTGAAATTTAGGGAAATACAAACTCAATGAATGCAACCTATCCACTTCATTAACTGTGGATACTATTTAGGTGATCGCATTGTGTTCCTCCAAGGCCACTCCATCTTCCCCAAGATTCAGTGTCCAGAACTGAACGATGGGGCCAATTTTTCCCATCCCAGATTAGGTCAAAACAAAGATGGGTCAGAGAAAACAATATCTGCTTCATCACACAGCCAGTAGTCCCATTTCCTTTCTCATTACCAATTGCTTTCAGTCAGCAGAGGAGAGGATGGGCCTTTCAAAACTGGCTCACACCAATAAATAGAACGCTTTAGTGAGTGTTGGGCTAAATATGTGCCTAACTTTCAGAAGTTTTGGAGCCCTCAGCCTTCAAATAGTACGACGGAAGGCATGCAGCAAGTCAACGTTGAGATCGGGCAAAAGAAAACTTTCTGAAGGTTAGTGGCATGGAATAAGATGATGAACTACTTCCTTTATCCAAGAACATAAGGGTTTTTGAAGATGGCAGGAAGGGGAATACTGATGATCGTTCAGTTAGGGGGCAGATTTTTTAATCCAAAAGATATACGTCATTAAAAAAAATCTTTACATACATTCATAGGAACTAAAACAGTTCTGTATAGACTTTGCATATCAAGAGAAAATATTGGAGTTTGACATTCCCTGCATTTACAAAAACTAGCGACATATCCTACTCAGGCAGTGCACAATTTACATGCATTCAGGCAAAGATAGGGTCTGATGACTGAATGGAGACTCAATGTATTTTGGCAGAAAGACCTTAGGCGCTGGTCTTTCCCCACTAGTTCAGTTAAGGAGCAGAGACAAGAACTTAGAATTTTTTCTCTGCATCTGGCTGGAGAGGTTTGACACAATGCTTTGTTACTGCAGCACCACCACTAGTAAGTGGGTCTAATTACAATGCAACTTAACACTGGCATTTTCCATTATAATTAATCACGGCAATGTGTCATGAGAAACTGGTGGGAATCATGTGCCAAGGTAACTTCTTTTAATGATTAAGATTTTCTGGCAAATTTCCCAAACAAAGCCTGGTTACCTGATTGGTTAGTTAGGTTTTGCTTAAGCAATCAACAAGTTGGAAATAAGTCAGATCCTATTCCCAATTGCAGAAAGAAAATAATGGAAATCTGAAATTAAACATTGGGAAATCCTGGAAATATTCAGGTGGCAGTTGGAAAGGAATCAGAATCACCTGAAGCTGGTGGATCTGAAACATAACTCTATTTCTGTCTTACCATTGAGGCTGAAAATCTACTGAATATTTTTAGCATAATCTTAATTTGTTTCTGGTTGAATCTGCTGCCAGATATATTTGTGGCACAACTTTCAAATACACCACTTTGCAATGCTTTTACACATCAGTTTGTAAATATGATTGTCACACTTTTGCGAATAAGTCAGTTTAACAAAAAACAGAAGTTGTTGGAAAAGCTCAGCAGGTCTGGCAGCATCTGTGAAGAAAAAAATCAGAGTTAACGTTTCGGATCCGGATACCCTTTCTCAGAATTCAATCAGGACCCAAAACGTTAACTCTGATTTTTTTTCTTCACAGATGCTGCCAGACCTGCTGGACTTTTCCAGCAACTTCTGTTTTTGTATAAACCGAAAGATACTGTAAATCGGGGAACAAAAACAGAAGTTGCTGGAAAAGCTCAACAGCATCTGTGAAGAAAAAATCTGAGTTAAAGTTTCGGGTCCAGTGACTCTTCCTTCTATTTTTGTTTCTAATTTTCGGGATCCACAGTTTTTTTTATTAAGTCAGTCTAACACTTGCGCCAACAAGTCAGTTTAACACTACAACTTGAGCGATATGCATGGAACGTCTAAACGATCAAGATTAAAATCTCTTTTCCTCTCTTTGATAAGGCACTCTATAACAGTTTTTTCTAAAAAAAAGTTTTTTTGTTTTCTTTTGTAGCATTTTTCCTTCAGGATACCAACTATTCCGCAACCTATTGTCTGGTCTCTTTCCCAATCCCTTGGGGCTTCCTTAAGGAAATAAAAAGATTGTATAAATAGGCACTAAATTCCCGGGAATCGCGTCATTTCCTCTCTAATCACAGAAAAGCCCAAATCGCCTTTTCCCAGCGTTTCCCGCAGGGCAAGCTTTCTCACCATCTGCAGAGAGGCTACTGAGAACACACACTCTTTACCATTTTTCACTCGATCTCCAACAGGAGCCTGAACTTTATGAGTTCTCCAGACCGAGCTGTCATACTATGGAAGAGCAATTCTGCTCTGAATTAGAAACCTGATTAGATCCTCCAATATCAAAGCACTCGGCAATGTAATTGTAAAATCCCAGTGAAACAATAAACAAAAACAAAGCCTTAACTTATTAGAGTGAGAAATCCGGACTAAAGCAAGCTTGTAATTGGCGCTCCGAACCAAACTCAGGGAGAGATCTGTGCCACTACATGTCCAGGATATAATCTGCATTTTCCAGGTGCCGCTATATCATGAGAATTTCGAAAAATAAGCACGCCAACATTTTGCTGCAATACTTATAAAAGTCCCTGGAATGGTTTTAGAAATAATTAAAATGTGGATAGATACCGATTTTACTCACATTGTTACACTCAACATGTAGGTGAAATTGAACGTGACATTTTATGGACCCAAAGAATAATTTCTTGGAAAGCACTGAGTAATGTAATAATCGTCTAAATAAAGGAATCAAAACTTTCTCATGGCTTTATCAATGAATTAATAGCACCACATTGCAGCGAGCCATTATTTAACCGGAAACAAATTTCACCATCCTAACTTTGGCATTAACTAGAGCGGTTGTGAATGAAACAGGTCCATGAAACGTGGTCAGGAGCTGGTTTAAAAACGTTCTTCAACTTACAGAGACGACAAACTCCAGCGTATCCACATAATCCCTTTCGGTTTTCAAGATTTCAGTCAGGACACAAACTCGAAGACGTAGCTGTTTCTCCAAGTCCTTGCCGCTAATTTCCCCTTTACTCTCCGACTTTTCTTCAGTCATTGTAGATCAGCGATCCCTGTTTATTTCATCTACTCCCAGCAACTGGCATCAACATTGCCTTTCCCTTTATAAATTAAATGGCGTTTCTCTCCCTCCCGTCATTTAAAGGGGGTTAACCCAGTAGAAATAAACATTGTTCCTCTCTCCCATTTGGGCGACTTTCAACTTAAATGTTGTAGAGGAGGAATGGCGATGTTTTCCGATTTGAATGTGTAGGGAAGGCTAGGAGAATCCCGGAGGCACTGCGTCTTAACTCAGTGCTGCAGGAGAACAGTCACATGGAACAAAAACTGTGGGAAAGCCACTAGACTTACACATTCACCAAACACTTCCAGTGTCCCCTGTCTGCTGCTCCCACCCCCAGCAGAATCAAAAGAAGAGAGGAAAATAAATCGATCTTCGCAACTGCAGCGTCCAAGACGTGTGTCATTCAAAAACTGTGCTTTGTTTCGTAATATTGTCCCACATACCAGAGCCTTGTCATTTCCCATGTTTGTATGAAAACGAGCAATATATGCTCGCCAGCCAGTGAACCCCACGACCCACGGGTGAATGAAAACAAAAAAACTTTTCCCCTTTCCTGGCTTTGAGTTACTATATGTTAGAGATATCCCTAAACCTTCCCCTGATGAAAGGAAACGAGATTTCTGAAACCAATAGGGATTTTCGTGCCTATTAAAAATCTGAAGGAACGGATGAACCCATGATTTTAACATCGACTAAAGTAATTGGAACTTTAGCATGCTTTCCATGCATGCTGCCTGACCCATTATGATCTCGAGCATTTTTTTGTTTTCAGTCCTGGAAAAAATTCGTGTTTGCAAAGATGCCTGTACAGGATTCCCAGCCAGAAAGGCAGCGATTATAACTGCATCAGAGGTGTCAAGGGGGCAACGTTTTGCAGTCCACAGTGATCTGGAATGGGTCTGATCTGTAGTACTTGGAATGAGCACTTGTAGTGTCATAACGTTCAAGGTTATGGGCCCAGTGTAGGAAAGTGGGACTAGTTTAGGGTGTCTTGTATTTTTGGTGGTACCAACTGTATGGGCCAAAGAGCCTGGTCTGTACTGTACGATTCCATGATTCTATGAGATGGTGGTGAAAGTTGATCCAATTACAAATTTCAAAACTTGATTGAAGGAGAGTGAAGCTGCTGCTGTGTGAAAAGAGCAAGGGGTGGGGGCAGGGCAAAACTCTTTTCAAAAGGACAGACACAATGGGCCAAATGGCCTCCATCTGTACTGTACCATTTCACGATTCTATATTTTACAAGAGTTTAAACTTTTTTTGTTAACAAAAAGGCTGTAGCTCAACATAATTAAATCGTAATATTTTCCAGGACTGAAAACAAAAAAAATGCTCAAGATCACAATGGGTCAGGCAGCATGCATGGAAAGCAAGCTAAAGTTACAATTACTTTAGTCGATGTTAAAATCATGGGTTCATCCGTTCCTTCAGATTTTTAATAGGCACGAAAATCCCTATTGGTTTCAAATAGTACACTCACAGTGGAGGCACTGGGGATGGTCCAGCGAAGATTAACAAAAGGTCAAGGACCTATCCAATTGCTGAAGAAGTTGGATTGATGGCAAAACTAATAACTACAATCCAGCCAAATGACAGCACAATGGTGTCAGAAACTCCAGGCTCCTCATCGTTTGCACGCCAGGTAACTTAAGCAACTTATTGTTGGAGTTCTGGTTAAGCCAGTCTTTGATGTTGTCCTTCACTCCCAGTCACTTGCTTTATTGCCATTAACCTTTCAGTGATGATTAATCCCTGTCCTTCTGCATTAATAATATTCGACATACAAATTAGAAGCAGGAGTAGACTAGCTGATCCCTTCGAGCCCACTCCAGAATTTCATGAGGTCACGGTTTTAGAGTCATAGAGAAAACACGTAGCAGCACCTCACATTAATCTAAATTAAACTCCATCTGCCACTCCTTGGTGCATTGCACCATCTGATCAAGGTCCCATTGTACTGTGTGGAAACTTTCTTTGCTGTCCACTGCACAACCAGTAGTTGGTTTGATTGTGACTTCAAATCCACTTTTCTACTGTGGCAATCTTCTTGTACTATCTGTATGCAACACAAATTAAATATGTGGAATCTATGACAATGTAAACATCACAACTTTAATAATTTTGTGGTTTGATAGAATCAACAAAGATAAACAGTTCGACACAAAAGAATGAGCAATATCTTTCTGGAATAAACTGTTTCTTGAGATGAAAGGGGCAAGGAGAAACTGTTAAAAGAAACTAATTAAAAGCAACATGTGAATTAACTATCTCTGGGAAGAAGTAACCTAAAGAGCCCATTTCCTGAGAGAGAAATCCGCTGCCTCATGACAAATGGGCAAATAAGACTGCCAGCAGAAGCAATGCTCAGAACTAAAGGGCTTAATTGCAGAAAAAGTTGTGTTCTAAATAGATAGCTAACCCCACATGTAACAAAGAACAGAGGAGCTACTTCTGATAAGAAGGCAAGCTACAGACCTGAAGTCTCCAGGAATGTAATCAATGTTGGGGATGGAAGAATCTAAAGGATAATGATAATGTCACTCCACAAACTTGAAAGAGAGAACATTACATGAGGATCCAACACCAGAACAAGTCAGTAGCAGAACTCTGAAGAACAATGCTGCATGAGGATCTAACCCTGGACACTTCCAGACACAGACCACCGTTGATTGAAACCCTGGCCAAATTCCACAATTATTCAGGCAATATCCAGGTTGAGTTGTGAGAATTAACTTTCTTAATGGAGGGATCTTATTTTGGTTGCTACATGCAATTAATGAACATTTAAATTACTGTTTCAGTACTTGGTTATGTATGAGATTTCTTAATAAGCAGCCCAAATAACTTGTGAGTTTGCCCACAATAATTCTATTTACTTGAAGACTTCTGATAAGTTTGACTACATTTATTAAACATTACAGAATGGTCTCTCAACATAGCTTGTGTCCAGGGTACCACTATCTGCTGCCCTTGCCCTTCTAGTTTGAAGTGTTTGTGGGTTTGGAAGGTGCTGTCTAAGGATCTTTGGTGAATCTCTGCTGTGCATCTTATAGATAGTACACACTGCTGCTACTGAGCGCCAGTGGTGGAGAGACTGGATGCTTGTGGACTAAGCAGTTTGCTTTGTCCGAATGCTGTCAAGTTTCTTGAGTGTTGTTGAGCTGCACCTATCCAGGCGAGTGGGAAGTATTCCTTCACACTCCTGACTTGTGCCTTGTAGATGGTTGATAGGCTATGGGGAGTCAGAAGGTAAGTTACTTACTGCAGGATTCCTAGCCTCTTAATCTTTTAGTCCTTGTATTTGTTTGGAGTCATAGAGATATGCAGCGCAGAAACAGACCCTTCCTTCCAACTCGTCCATGCCGACAGATATCCTTTATAAATCTAGTCCTATTAGCCAGCTTTTGGCCCATATCCCTCTAAACTTTTTCGATTCATATTTCCATCCAGATGCCTTTTAAACATTGCAATTGTTCCAGCCTTCACCACTTCCTCTGGCAGCCCATTCCACACGCGCACCACCCTCTGCGTGAAAAAGTTGCCTCTTAGTTCCCTTTTAAATCTTACCCCTCTCACTTTAAACCTATGTCCCCTAGTTTTAGACTCCTCACCATGGTGAAAAGACCTGGTCTGTTTACCCTATCCATGCCCCTCATGAAACTTCGAGAAGGTCACTCCTCGGCCTCTGACACTCCAGGGAAAATATTCCCAGCCTACTTAGCCTCTCTCTATAGTTCAACCCCTCCAACCTTGGCAACATCCTTGTAAATCTTTTCTGAACCCTTTCAAGTTTCACAACATCCTTCCTACAGGAGGGAGACCAGAACTGAATGCAGTATTCCAGTAGTGGCGTAACCAATGTCCTATACAGCCAATACATGACCTCTCAACTCCTGGATGTGTGAAGCTCTTGCAAAACTCGAAAAGGTGACACAATCCAGAAAAGAAAGCAGTCTACTTGATTGGCACCTCAACCACCTCCAACATTAATTCCCTTCACCATCGATACAAACTGGCAGCTGTACGTCTTCTCCTTGTAATACTCTGCAGTAACTCAGCAAGGATCTCCGAACAGCACCTTTCAAACCCGCAACCTCTACTGCGCATAAGGACAAGGGTAACACAGGAATGGGAGCACCACCACCTGTAAGCTCCCCTTCAAGCCACAACCAAACATGATTTGGAAGTATATCACCATTCCTTCACTGTGGCTGGATAAAACTCATGGAACTCCCTTCCGAATAGTATTGTGGGTATCCCTCCACTCCAAGGACTGCAGTAGTTTTAACAAGGCAGCTCACCTTCACACATTCTCAAGCCCAATTAGGGATTGGCAATAAATGCTGGTCAATCCAGCAATTCCCACATTCCACAAATACATTTTAAAA